GCTGCAGGACTAACTTGGGAAACATCCTTCAACTATTAAAGGATTAAAAGCAGTTGTGAAGGAACATTACTTGTACCGAAACATTTCTGAAATTGAAGAACTACAAAAAACCAGCTCCAGTTTGTTTGTTTGTTTGTTTGATCAAACCTAGTCTTAAACTTACATTTATTACTTAAACTTGCATTTATTACTGCAGGAAACAGGTTTTCAACCTCAACAATTGCTTACCTCATAATTTCATACTGTGGTCTACTGTCCTGAGATCATATATTAGTTCATTAATGGTTCAATTCTAAATCAATTAAAAAGCTCTCAGAATTCATAAAATTTGATTTGGCTGCCTTCTCAGATCAGAAAACTGCACTCTGTTACAGGGCATTTTTCTTCCTTTGCGGTAAACCAGCATTTAAATGTCACTTTTTTAGTGACACTTACTCAGCATTCTGATTTATTCTAAAAAAACCCCAAACAACAAGAAAACGCCTCATCCTACATTCTGGAATGTAAAACAAATGTCATTAAATAATTATTCAAATAAGAACAGTGCAATCTGCTGCATGGTTAGAAGTTATCTAACTCATGTAAGGAGGCAAAGGCCCTACAGAAGCAGGTAACTTCAGCAGTATGATTCAAACCATGGTTTGTTCATCTAAATTATGTTTTCGGGAATGAAAAGTGTAATCAGTTAATACAGATACCAAAAATTACAGTTCTAGCATGGATATGTTTCAAAAGAAAGCTATCTTTCTTTCATGAGTTAGCAGGAATTAGAAACTCTGCCTTTGAAGTCTGTCCCAGAAAAGGGGAAGGCACATGGAAAGGGAGGGACTCTTTCATCGTTCATAAAAAAAGATCCTGTCACTGATCAAGTACACAAAGAGTTTTCTTCTTCTTCTATTTCTTTCCCAAATGAATCTCCAGATCGCTGTCCTGGTGAAGCCAACCTCTGAGAAGTTCCTGGACTAACAGGTAAGACACTCAAAATCCTTGGTTTACCCCCCGGATAGGTATTAACAGAGGACAAAAACAGTGCACTAACCTGTAAAACCTCTCAACACTTCTTTATCAAGTTAGAAAAGTCATTAAAATATAAACAGTGGGTGGTCTGTCTGCATATCCACCCAATTATGAAGTAAAGTCTAATTCATTGACAGCCAAAAATTAAGGGATCAAAATAAATGCTAAACAAATACTTTGAATTAATACCTGAGACAACATGTTCACGTGCCAAATGCTTTAATGTTCTTTACTAAAATAAACCTTATTGCTCACAATTTTATCATCAGAAGTGAGCAGGAGCTACTGTTCCTGAAATTTCTAATTATATTAGATGATATTCAAGATCTTCTTCCACATCTAATTAAAATCTTTACATTCTGTGTGCTAATCTTGTTCCTCATTACGCAAGTGCAATTGTATAATTCTAATTTAGTCTTATAAATATCCAGACAGCTCTTCTTTCAGATTTATGATATTTCAGAAATATCATCTTTAGTGATATTTCTTATTCCACATTAGTATCCTGTTCAGGAAGATTGGTAGACCCTTGCTTTTATCACTCTTGTTGATTTATTGTATTCTGCAATTATATTTTGCACTGTGATACGAAAAATACATAGAGCAACTGATTCCGTTACCATTTCCTTATCTCCCATTCAAAACTATCTTCAAGTTTCACTGGATTTCATACAAGTGTTTAAAATCGTCACAAAGAATATATGCTGTTTGCTTATAAACTACTAAGTAGGTGATTCGGAAATTTCACAGACTCACTGTTTGCAACTACAAAATACCTGGTGGAATATCTTGAACTATAATAACAGGGACATTTCACATTTCACAAAATGCTTACCAGAAAAAGAATGAGGATGTGTATAACATTGATTCTGAGAAATTTCCACCAGTGTCTCTCTCCATTAGCTGACACAACTTTTAAAGTGCATTTAGAGTAATTAATTTTGAGATACAGCAGTTGACACCAATTTTTTTATTTCTCCATACATTAGAAGGAGCCATATCCCATAGAAAGCCATTGTGTAAGTAAAATGACAGTGTGCTACTTGTTAACTATAATAACAGCATTCTCACTCTTCTCTCTGCTCTCCACATGGAGACAATGTCTTTTAATTCATAGTTGTTAGTTTTATTCTGTAATATGACCTCATTATACAATTACCTAATAGCTAATTAAATTTAATAAATAGGATTTGTTTAATAAAACCAAATCCATTAATGTGCTGTAGTTTCTAATCTCTGATTACACAGATGGAGCTCAAAAATCAATCCTTGACGTACAATGTTAATTCTCAATGCCATTAAAATATCACCTGCTTTCAGATACACCTGGCTAGAAAAAACACATTTCATGTTGCAAAGTAAGGTTTGGTTTGCCGTTGTATTTCATCAAGAATACTTCTGTTTTAACTGGAAAAACTAAAAGATTTTACTTAAGAAGTAAAGTCTTTCAGAAAGTTTTTGCTTTCTCTGTGTTGCTGAACTGGACTCTTTCCATATGAACAACTGAAATGGTTAAAGATATTATAAAAATAAAAAAGAAGGTAATAGTTAAATGACTTTAGGATTCAGAAATAATTTGTGAAAATTTTCTAGAAAAGATTTTGTGTTGAAAGAAGATTTACGACTGATCTTTATCATGATCATTTAATCTGCATTTCTGAGACAACTAAGAATGAGCATGACAAATCTCTATGAGAAATACTCAAGACACATTTGAATCTGTTGAGGTCCTTTTCAATAGGATCTCCATTCAAATGTTTGTCTTCCAATATTTTTACACTGTCTCTCAACAAAGGGTCAACTACTTCCAGTGTCTTCTTTGCAATTGCCAGGGCTCAGCTGGCAGATAGAGACGGTCATGTAGAAAAAAGCAAATGCCTCTAAAATATCACCTTACGCCCTTTGGTGCAAGACCACTCTACTTCAGATTCCAACAGTTAAGGACTCTGATTCCATCAAGAAGTAAGGATCAAGCTGAAAGCCTCTGTGCCTTTTGCAGTGGAGGCTGGCTTCTTTTTTTTCTTTTTTTGTGTCAGCTGCTTTTATATCTCAAGTTACCTTTTCTTTCACTTTTGTGGCAGTCCTTTTTCCATGTGTTTTGTTACTAGAGTTGATGAGGTTGAATTCCTTGAGGAAATGTGTGGTTCAAACGATACCCTGCTTTTATTATGAAACAAGATTTGATTTATTCTTTACTTCCATTGTTTTAAAACCTCTATTACAGTACCTGCAGAGAATTGTGAGGATGTCTCTAAAGACATCCAAATGCCATTATTACTGTAAGAATATGGTGGTTAGGATCCTATTAGGATTTATTTTTTCCTAATTTATACGAATTAATACAAAGAGATTTTTGAAAGTTCCAAAACTTCATGGTTTAGCCCTTTAACATTTTTTTCCCAGGATTCATGTATCAGCAATTTAGATTTTATGTTCCTGTAGGAAGGCCATGCGAAATCCGTTCTCTGTTGCAGTTCAACAGCAATGAAAAGCCATGAAGATATTTCAAGTTCAAAAACAAATGTAACAAGGGTTAAAGAGCCTGAACTATGTTGTAGCAGTCTGGGAAGAACTGCTGGCAGCAACAGTGACCTTCTCTGTCTACCTTGTTCCATATACTGCTTGACATCCAGCAAACCTTAGGATGTCAAAGATAGGTTTTGCTGCAAGACAAAAACTTTATAACTATATGAATGTTATGAGATCAGTATCCTGTGTTCTCAAATTTGCTATTCCACAACTCATAATATCCAAGAATTCTACATATCACCATTTCTCAGGAAGAATAAGGTGTTACATGTCTCGTTGATCAAGGTGTCTCTTTTTTCAAATCTGGTAATTCTACTGCCAAGGTTTTTATTCTCTAAGCACATTTTTACTGTGTTGGGCATAAAAGAGCACTTATATCTGTTATTATCACATCTGTCTCAAACCACTTGCTAATTAACTCAATCAGTGAACTTGTCTGTGGATCATATTCAATTATTTTTACTTTCCCCTTATTTTTGGTCATAAGAAGAAGTGTACAGAAAATAAGTCCTCCTCTACCCATTCCCAATTCCAAAACCAGCAAATACTACTGTGAAAAATAGAATGGCATGTGGCTACAAAACACAAATAAATTTTCCTTTTGAATTTTTTCTTTCCTTTCTTTTATTGCAGTTATCACTCAAACAGGCTGGCTTATATTAACCTGGAGTTGATTTTTGCAGTTACAAAAATGAAAAATAAAAAAAAAACCAAACAAAACCCCAACCCAACCCAAACCAAAACAAAAAAACAAAAACCAGAAAAGACAAATTTTGTGCACCCATTTATACTTCTGACTTTACCTATTTCATTTTCTCTACAAGTACTGAAGCCAAGAATCAAATTCAACTTTTATTAATAAATTTTATTATTGCAAAATAAGAATTTTTCACTCTTTGTTCAAAATATTTGCCATTGAACGAATAAAAAGATCCAGTCCAACTGTGAAGGACAGTTACCTTCATCTTCATTTTGCCATACTTTTCAACTACAAGGAAGAAAACCGATAGTAATGTTGTAATGTCCAATGACTACAATACACTTTAATGGGATCTATCCTGACAAAGCCAAATTAAATAAGGGCTCATCCAACTCATGATCTCATTAAAATGTTTGTTGGCAGAAATACTTAGAGCTGGATTTGATACACAATACCACAATCTGAAAAGAAAAAACATCTGAGGGGCACATGTTTGTCCTCTGGACAATGGCAGTCTTTCCAGTTAATCAACTTATTTTGCAGCTGTGAAGATTTTTGGTTTATTTTGAATTGTAGATATTTTCCTAACTTGTATACTATATATCAATACAAGTTGTTATTAACAGAAGCACTGCCTTCCAAATTATTCCTTTCTAACAGAAAAAAGGAAAAAGTGAAGCATGCAATCAAATTAGTCAAACCATAGTAGCATTACATGCAAATGGAGAGTAGGCTTTGTTGTCCACATACTTACTTATGGCCCATTTCATGGGCAATTGTAAAAGCGAGGTTCAGACCATTGTCCTCTGCAATGATACATTTCCGTTTTTCACTGCACATTCCACTCAGATACGCTATACCTAGGAAACACAATCACCACATTCAATTATTTTGTTATTACTAACTTCATATATTACGGCATAATTGACCCTAAACAGGACTGAAAACTTATTGTGCTCAGAGCTGTCCAAATACATAAACAGATATCTGATAAAGGTTTACTTACTTGAACAATTGACTTTAGCGCAAAATTGGATAAAAGACAGCAAATAAATTGTATCCAGTGGTAATATTACTGCACAGTAATGATTACATAGACTGCCATGTAGGGAAAGGCATTCTTTAAAAGCATTTCTAAGTACCTTAATCAGATCTGATAGAACACATGCATGATTATTAATACTGTTGTAAATGAAAACAGATTTATCCCTGCTAAGTACTGATAGAGTTCAGCATGTTAATGATTTTAAAAATACATGTAAAGAGTCAGATTTCATAGAAGAGTTCATAGGAGACTGCAGACTGACAAACACATTCATTGTAGAGGCTATAATGTCTCTAGTATATAATACCTTAGTTTGCTTGGGGGTTTTGTGTTTTGTTTGTTTTGGAGTTTTGTTTGTTTGGTTTGTTTGTTTGTTTTTTGGGTGTTTTTTTCCAAAAGAAGCTCTAAGGGTAAGCTTTTGAGTTCAAGTAAAAAGTAGAATGTCTGTAACTGTAAAAGCTGGAGGAACATGCAGCTTAATTTGTGTAACAGCAAACTTTTTCAGAGCACATTTAGTGGGGACCTATTGTCATCACTTGTTTGAAAATTCAGAATAAGCAATCAAAACACTGTTTCAAGTGTTTGGCCCTCTTCCTTTAGACAGAGTGATGCCCTGTGGTTCAACATGTTTGCTGGATGCTTGCATCCAAAGGTCAACATTGAAATGTTTGACAGTATTTGAAATTTAGTCGTAATTATCATTCTAAGTTAAAAAGATAAAAGTCATTCTTCTTACAGTCCAAGTATTTGCCAGTCTGTGAGCACAATGTCTCATCCACAATGTTAAATTCAAGTATAGTAACCCCATCACTATTCTGGCAAGCTTGCTCTCAACAGAACTGGATGAAAGCTTTTGGACACAGAACTTTAGACAAAATATGTTGTTCAGGACTGAACAAAACACTCACAAAATTAAATAGGCAGAATATTTCAACTTTTACCATTTGTTTCCAAAAAAGGGAGAAAAATTGAGTGGGGATAATAGTCAGCTGGGATACCAAAAGAAACGGCTGGTCAGTTGGTGGTAAGCAATTATTTTCAGTTGCATCACTTGTCTTTTTTGGCTTTCATTTATCTCTCTCTGTTATTTTCCTTTCTACTATTATCATTATTTGCAACCGGACTTGTCTATCTCGCATTGGCCTTTTTAGCCATCAGCGCGCTTGTAGCAAGCGTGGGTAGAGCCCTTTCAAATCTTCGTTCGCGAAGCCTAGCCATGATGATGATGATTATCATTATTACTATTATTTTTATTTCAATTAGGAGACTGTTTTTGTCCAAACCCATGACTTTCCTCACTTCTACCCTTGCAATTCTTTCCTTCCATTCCACTGTGCAAGGAGAGAACAGGCAGCTGTGTGGTGTCTCGTTGTCAGCTGGGGTTCAACCATGACACTTACTGATGATGGCCATTCCCAGTTGGATAAAATTTTCTTGCTGGGATCTACAGGAAGAAAATTCTGAAACCTCTATCTGCCTGTTGATTCTCAGTACTGACTGAAAACGATGATGTTCTTTAGTCTTTTGAAAGGAAAAGTAGTACCTAATCTTGCCTTGGTAGGTTCAAGTACATTAGCAAGATCTTTCCACACAACTACCAGTTGCTGGCTACTATTTTGACTGTCTCCCCCTTTATTTCCAGTTTCAAATCTATTCTGCAGAAGAGGTAGTAAGCAATAGTAGACATTTTCAACAATATTCATATATTGATCATATAATACTCCTGTAATACTCATACATATGTATCACCAATAATGTTTTCATAGTTGGCATTCCTTGAAGGAAATTGATTATGTTTGACCTTTGTAAGTTTAACAGATAAAACATAAAACTTGTATTTCACTGATATTAAATTAGATTTCTGATTCTAGAAATGTCCAAAAGCATCAAAAGCAGTTAATGGTTTATGACTTTCCCCTTATTAAACAAAGTCAACCACATATGTGCAAACTGCACTCAGTGGCAGTTACTGGATGTAAATCAGCCAGTAAATCAGTAAATAGTTGTTAACTCATTTCACATCTTGTCCTTGATTATGAATTTCACATGTAGTGGAAAAGAAACTGACTCCAGTAAGCAGCTGCTCTTGCTTAGTAGTCTGTGAATTAGGAAAGAGAAGGAATTTCTTCTTCAAACATCTATAATCACAGCAGCTTCCTGTGGCTTATTAGCACAGCTCAAACTGTTCCAAGGTTAAATCCACATGAAAAAAAAACCCAAATCAACCCCAAAACAAAAGCAGTGAACAATTCCCCCCTTGTTAAGGTATTCCTAGTGAACCCTGTAACACGCTGCTTCAAATAAAGCACTTGGTATCTGGAAAGTCTTGGCTAGAAAAAGCAGTAACATCATCTCGCTGACAATTTAAGGAGGGATCCTATTATTTATCAATAAAGAAAGCTGCTTTGAAACAAACAAACAAACAACAACAACAACAACAAAACTACTTGACTGAACCCATGTCAAATGCAAAATATTCAAATTACTTCCCTCTGTGAATAATTATTTCCCAAGTTAATTCAGAAAAAAATACATGCCACGTGAATTTAGAGATTAAAGCTTTACCATTGTGTCTTAGAAGAACCCCATAAGGGACTACATTTTCTTTTCAAACACATAAATATTTAAATGAAATACAGGCTATTTCAGGAAAGTACAACTTTTCCCAGTCATAGCATTGGTTTCTTTCTACTACCATTACTGCTACCTGTAGACATCAGCATTTCATTCTACACACTATGTTAATTTTCTGGTTTATTAAAGGACATCCTCATCAAATCACCAAACTATTTTATTCTTTCAAAGTAGTCACACCTTTACAACTTTTCTGTTAAAAAGCAGTAGTTCAGCTGACAGGGATGTTACACAAAACACCTCACCAGCTAAAGTATCGAAGCAAGTCTGTCAGCTTTACCTACTGACTCATGGCCAGCTGCCTGTAATATAAATCCACTACTTATATTAAAAGGCTGTTGTCAGCATTGCCCCCCAAGAACAAAAACTCCATAGTAGGAAAAAAAAAAATCACATTAAGAAATATGCAGTCAAACATACAAACATCGATACTGTTACAGTGAATGTACAACACACAGGTATGACTAGAAAATGTCTGCATGAGTAACACTGCATTCTTAAAGGCTACAGAATGGTTATTATTTTTCCTTTTGCAGTGATCTAATGGAAATAGAGTTAATATTCTAAAAGTCTAAATCACACAAAATTTAAATTTCTTTTCCTCTGAACTTCCTTGGTTTCACAACTCATTCAGAGTTGGCTTGTCATGCTATTACTGTGTGCTTATTCTGAATCCCCTACCTCATACTTGCACCAAAATCTACTTGCTAATTTTAGATGCTGTTAAAAGGAAAGAGACTCTTCCACATACTACCAGTTTAATCTGTTGATCACCAGGATGTCACCTCTACACATTCTTGAGCTATTTCACAGCTCTTCTGTTTTGGCAACAGTAATATTCTGCCTAACATAATTTGGTTTTTTCTAGATTATAAGGTAATTATGACCATAAAAATTACAGAACAAAGTTCCTGTAATATATTATCTGATAAAGAGGGATAGGAGATCACTCAGATATCCCTTGTACTACAGATCAAGACCAGAGTCTATCTGAATTTTCAGTCTGTATGAAATAAAAATTTAATGAAAACCAGATATATACGTTCTGTTTCCAACACTGGAAAACATAAGCTAAAAGAACCAATAAGTGCATAAATTCATGTAGCAGAGTTCAGGAAACAAAAATTCCATTTTTGAGCATTTTTTTTAATGAATAAGTATGTTATAATCTCAGGAATCTAGGGATAGCATACTCCTTGCTGTTCTATCTATGCATCAGTGAATAAAAATGGTCAAATTTGATCAAGATGAAAACCAGAAAAACTGCACAGGTTCCCAGCATCTACTGCATTGCCTGTTGTCTAGGTAAAATAATGAAGCACACTATTACTATTGAATACACATTAAATATAAATTTAAGAATATTGAAAATATTAATGAACTTAATGAATTATGGATCTATTAAATTATTAAATTATTACAAATACAACTGATATGTCTTAAACACATACTATAAATAAAAGTGATATTTATGTATGAAATTTTCTTCTGAAGTTTCTACACCAAGATCCATAAACAACAGTGTAAACCATTAATGAAATATAGAAAACACTGAAATGGAGAGAAAACATGCAGAGAAACTCATGATGATTTGAATCACAAAAAATCTTCAGCCTTCAGAAGGTGTCATGCAGTGACACGCTCCTGATAGCATGACCTTAATTTGAATTACTGATGACACACAGAATAAGCAAGCCACTACATTAGAAACATAATTTAATGCCCAAATTCATCTGGCTTTTGATTCAAGAGTAAGTATTTTCAAGTGAAAAGCACTTTAAAAACATATTTAAAAGAACTGGTAAATCAGTGAGCTGGTGAGCATAAAGGACAGTAGTCAACTGCACTTGATTACTAATCTAACAAATTACTTTTTAGCAGACCAGATGCTCTTCTTAAGAAGCAAGAGAAAAAAGCTTTCCAACGAGCTGACACTTAGAAGTCTAATTAGCACAAGCTGTTCTGAAGAAATGCACAGATGACTTCCAGGAAAAACAAGTCTTGTCAGTTGTCAGTGAATCAGCAGCTCTTAAACATGGCAGTAATCAAAACAAGACAGTTAACAAACAGATCTCAAATGCAAAAAGAAAAGTCTGGGATTATTTCTTTTTCTCTTCTCAAGTGAGAGATATAGACAGTGAGAATAAATATGTGTGTGTGTGTATATTGAAATGCATACAA